TTCTGATTCCTGAACAAGTCGCTGGAGAGAAATTAAACTGAGCGGAGGCACTAGGTGGCTTCATTGTAATTTCCATTCCCGTTCCCGACCTTCATCCTCGATGTTTTGTGCGTTTTGTCCACTTTCTTAAGCTCTGTCAAACACGGACAGTATTTTTACGTTTGGAGCAGACGCGGAAACTGAGTTACACGTCTCAGAAAGAAGTCAAAATAAAAACCCAGGACCTTCTCGCTCTGTCTCTGTGGAAATGTCTAGAATGTTCCGCAGTAGAGATTAAAACCGTCTATCGCGAGGGAGACGAGCAGGTCACAGCACTACGCTACATTACAGGTCAGATCTGTGGAGAGTCGCACCTGTTCTCACAAGGAACTCATGTATTTCTGAGGAGTAGAAACACCTGTGATCATTAAACGCTGCTAATGGAAATGTTTTAATGCCACACCACGGAATATCCCAGGTAAAGCGATAACATCTCCAGCCGACCCTCCACCAGAAAAGTTCCGCAGTGCGCCTTTAACAAAAACAATAATACAAACATAGAAAAACAGAAGATAAAGATACTGAAAGGTAGTTCTGAAGAAGTGGGTTTCTGGGTTTTGTTTCAGAGGCGACGAGATCAGCCGAGTGACGCTTTCTAACTACAGACTGAATATGAAAGATCATTTGTTACATCAGATTTAGAATTTTAAATATTGCCAAATTTCTTATTTTGAATTTTTTTACTCTGAAAAAACATGTTTGAATTATTTTTGTTCAAAATTTTTGTTGCTGTAATTTTAAATGTACATTTTCAGTATGTTTCAATATAAAAATAAAAATGCCGCCTTTTAAATATTCAGCACAAATGTTTTCAAGCTCTCAAATTCAACAGTCCAAAATCCAGAGTAAAATTTAGAGTGTAAAACTCAAGAGTATAAAATTTTAAGTAAAATTCAGAGTGTAAAATTTAGAGTTTAAAATTTAGAGGGTAAAATTCAGAGTAAAATTCAGAGTGTAAATTTCACAGCAAAGATCCAAGACGCCAAGACAGAAGCAATCGATCGTGTGTGTGTGAGGAGGACAGAGGCTGTTTCCTTTTGGTTCTCATTTGTGGGCGGGGTTTGAGGTTTTGATGAGGCAAATTCTGACCAATCAGATTGATTCACTGCTTCACTGCACCATTTCCTGTTGTTACTAAGTTAGATCAGATCACAGTGGATCGATTGCTTCTGCCTTGGCATCTTGGATCCTTCCTGCGAATTTTTTGTTGAATTTAAGGCTTGAAAATATTTGTGCTGAAAATTTAAAAGGTGATATTATTTATGTAAAATTTTAAACACTTTGAAAATCTTCACTTTGTAAATTTAATTAACCGCCTTTCAGAATAAAAAAAAAAATTCAAACATGTTTTGTCACAGTTAAAAAAATTGAAAGTGAGAAATTCGGCGGCGTTTAAAATTCCAAAATCTGATTAAAGTATGATGTTCCAGACGTAATACAAACACAAAAGACTTCATTTTGGTTTCAGATACAAAAATAACTTACATTTACAATTTTGTACAAGAGGACAAAACACTGCGGTTCCGATGCCATAACGAGATCTGTCCAGATAATTTAATGTTTACAAAAATCTCACAGTGCTAGCTTAAACTGCGATTCGTCCTTCGCTGAGGACACGTGGAAGACGATGGAGCTGTCGTTTTGTTGATCATGTGGGCAGCAACTTCAGTTAAAGGGCCCATATTACACAGGGCCATTTTCTGTTAGAGTGGGACTTAAACAAGGAAAAAAATAAAATAAAAGCAGCATTTTAGCGACGTGCTGCTCCTGAGACTTTGCAGTGACGTCAGGTTTGGGGGAGTTTGGATGCTGCATTCTACTGCGCTCGGGACTCGAGGAAAATGGAAGTCCACCGTGAGAAAGTGCAGTGGAACAGCCAATCAAATCAGGATTCTGAAACACAAACTCGGGCTGGTTCGGTGCAGAACGAGTCGGTTAGATTTACATCACAGCAAGAATGTCAGCGCACACGGTAAACGGGGAGAAATGTCTTTTCATCATTTTGATCTGCTAAGTTGTGTCTGTGTAGAGAAAGTGTTTTCTATAAACTTTGTAGTGACATTAAGGGCGACTCACACTAGGACTTTAGACCCGTGTCGTGCTCAAGCTCGATTATTGTGGGTTTTATGTTTTGCTCTCAAACCTGCACATCTGAACCGGGCCACGGCCTGATGATGTCATCACACGGCGCTGTTTGTTTACATGTGCTAACACTTTTAGTGGAGAAAAAAAGTCCAGCGGCATTAATATCTATTAAACAGTGAGGCAGACGCGTGTCCTTTTATGATCCGTGCTCCTCCGTGAGTTTATGGAGATAAAAACAATGCAGAGCACTGAGGACATTGTCCTTACTGAAGGTGAGCGCGGGTTTGCCGTGTGTTTTGGAATTAAGTCTAACTCAAGTAACAGAGCTCCTGTTAGCCTCACACCCCCCGAGAATGTTGATGACGTCAACTTCAAAGTATCAGCACGCACGGAGTTTTAGTGAACGTAATTTGACTTAAGAAACGCATAGAAAAAAAACCCAAAAAACATCCCGCGATGACTTGTGAACCTAAAACTGCGCAGAAAACTTTGGGGTTTATTTTCGAGAACAAAACAATCTTGGGTAATTTGAAACGGAGTGATAGAACACGAGAGGACTGACACCCGAGACGTGAACCCAAACACTGCAGGTTTGTTTTGTTTTGGACGAAGGAACAACATTATTTTAAAAGTCCAATGATACTCCCCAATCATAGAATCATAGAATCATAGAATCATAGAATCAGAGCCTGGCGAACCAACATCTTTCCCTTTATATTCTACAAAACAGTGAGTCTGGTTTATGGGACCAGCGGCTGAGGTGCACAGTGAACCAATCACACAATCCATAAATATAACGCACAGACACGACCGGACTGAAGTTTGGACTCAACCTCTCATTCAATGTTTCTTTTTTATATACTACATACTACATATATAAAAAATTCAAGCAACATTCAATTTTGTTTTTTACATTAAGTATTTAAGTGTAAGTATTTTATTATTTCTTTTTTTAAGTGTAGCAAGATGTATTTTCATATTTTAAGTACAAAAAGTTTTGTTCCACTGGCAGATAGTTTTACTTGTCAAGTGAAACTGACTCAAATCATGATAAAACTTTCTTAATTTAAGTTGTCTCAACTTGACTAGATTTTGTTTTTTGCTGTGTATTTCCTATATTTTATAAACGTACATAAGAAATGAAATTATTCCGGGCGTACACTGTGCGATTTTTGGCTCTTTTTGAGCCGATTTTTCACTCGTGCGACTGTTTTTGGGATCAAACATGAGGAAACGAGAACCGATTAATACCGCATGACCAGCTCCTGATCGGCAATTGTAGATCACAAGAATTAATTAATTTATTTTTTTTAGTTTTTAGGTTTTCTTTTTTTATTCGGTCATTTTGCAGCACTACATAACAAAACAAAAGACAGACTACAAACTCATGAATCATAACCGAAAGGGTTTAGGCTTTAAGTAAAAAGTTCTTATAAAGCCAAACCCGATTAAACAACGACAGAATTCCAAGAAAGAAAACCAAAGTATGAACAGCAAGTTTACAGTTTGACGTACGACTTACTGTACATATAAGACAAAATATAAACTGAAACAAACAAAAATTAATATTAAACCTGTTTGAAATCCAGTTTTGCTCGGAAGAAGAGCTGTGAACTTTTAAACTCTGTGATTTTGTCGTACAGTTTGAGCTGGAGCTGAGTGAAACGATCGAAAATATCGCACAGTGCACGCGGAAAAGAAAAGTTATTTATTTTTCCATTTTTCTTTACTAAATAATTCCATGTATCTTGCTTTTTTATTTGATGTTTTCTGTTTGATCTAAAATGTAGAAAGAAAAGAAGTAAGAAAAAAAAAGCGTTGAATGAGAGAACGTGTCCAAACTTTTGACTTTTGTTCTTTGTGAATTTTCTGGTGGAGAATCCGTCGAACGCTTTTCTCCATGGAGATATTATTGCTTTGTCTGGAATGTTTCACAGTATGGCATTAAACCTTTTTTATCTTCATGGAGACCAAACCAGACCAAGTCATTATTTTTAGGTCTTGAGACTTGACTTGATAAAATGGACTAAGACTTGAGGCCTGTGACTTGAGAAGCACTTTTAAATCTGAATTTGTTCTACTCGGACCATAATGATTCACTTTAAAAGCTTGTGAAGACATTTAAAAAGATGAAAAACAATTAAATTAATTTCTACAACTCTTAAATACTCATATATAAATATTTTATGATTTTTTTTAAAAGTACAATTTATCGTAAAATTCATATAAATTCCAAAAATCGAAGCTATATTTGGTACTTTTTTGGTTTAAAGACTTGAAACGACTTGAAGCTCAAAGCAGACGACTTGGACTTGACTTGGACTTCTGGGCCAGTGACTCGAGACTCGACTTGGACCAATATTTGACTTGGGACTTGACTCGGACTTGAGATCAAAGACTTGAGACTTGCAAAACAACGACTTGGTCCCACCTCTGGTCAGAACACCTGTTTTTGAGGGTTTTTTTTATTTATTTTTTTTAAATGTAAAGTAAAGCTGTTTAATGTCACACTGTGGAACATTCCAGGCAGAGCAATGACGTATCCATAGAAACGAGCAGGTGATGAACCCTCCACCAAGAAAGTTACACAATGCACCTTTAAAAAACTTTTCTGGAAGGGGATCTTCTTCTTGCTTCTCTCCTTAAGATGTTATTGTTTTCTATAAATTTCCACTGTACGATAAACGTATCTTGTGTCCATACTGCGGAACATTCCAGGCAGATCAACGATGTCTCCATAGCAACAAGCAAAGCAGGCGACGGACCCCCAATCAAAAAGTTCCACAGTGCACCAGGTCATGTGACAGGAATGTACGCAGTGTCCCATAACGATCCTTTACTGGACTTTTCGACCCGTCCTCGCTCTGCGTCCGGTCGCCGCGGTTACGCCTCGATCCCCAGAGGATGGAAGTGTCCGGCGGGGAGCAGGTAGCGCCCCAGCCACTGCAGCGCCCGCGGGTACCAGTGCACGCCCACGCTCTGGGTCTGGGGCGGCGGGACGAGGCTGTGGAGGAGTCTGAACGGAGCCAGCGCCCAGTGAGCGAGCCGCGGCCGGTTCAGCGCCGCGTAGCACGACGCCAGCACGCGGTCCACCACGATGGAGCCGTGCTGGGTGAGCGGCGCGTACAAGCCCCGGCTCCTCCGCTCCGTCACCGAGGACACGACGGCCACGCCCTCCCCCCCGCCCCCCCGTGACGTCACCACGCACTGTCCGGGCTCCACGTCGCTGGCGAACACCGTCCTCAAAGAGCGGCGCGCGCAGTCCGACACGAAAATGAGGTGAGCGGCGGTGAGGGAGATGCTGGCGCCGTCGCTCGTGCGGATGACGTAGAAAGTTTTGTTGACGTGGGGCTGGCGGTCGATGAAGGACAGCACGGGGCTGAAGGTGAGGGGTCCGCGCCCGTCCGAGGAGGAGGAGGACAGCACCAGGTCTCCGGGGACGACCTCGCTCATGAGCTTCGTCCCGCCGTCCTTCAGAGACACCAGAGCGTCGCCCGGGAAACAGCCGCCGGTCTTGGCCGCCACCGAATGCTCTGAGGAGATACGAAGAAGAGAGGAAGTTATTTTAAAATCAGAGCTGTAGTTTGACTTTTGCACTACAGCGGACAAACATTTTAACATACTCACTAGTTTTAAGATTTAAAGTGCGTATTGCCATGTGCACAAAATGCTTTGCCCTGTACAATGAATTGTGGACTGTTGTGGACTGTTGTTGGACCATTGTTGGACTGTTGTGGACTGTTGTTGGACCATTGTTGTACTGTTGTTGGACTGTTGTTGGACTGTTGTGGACTGTTGTGGACTGTTGTTGGACTGTTGTGGACTGTTGTGTGGACTGTTGTGGACTGTTGTGGACTGTTGTGGACTGTTGTGGACTGTTGTTGGACTGTTGTGGACTGTTGTGGACTGTTGTGGACTGTTTGTGGACTGTTGTTGGACTGTTGTGGACTGTTGTGGACTGTTGTTGGACTGTTGTGGACTGTTGTGGACTGTTGTGGACTGTTGTGGACTGTTGTGGACTGTTGTTGGACTGTTGTGGACTGTTGTGGACTGTTGTGGACTGTTGTGGACTGTTGTGGACTGTTGTGGACTGTTGTTGGACTGTTGTGGACTGTTGTGGACTGTTGTGGACTGTTGTGGACTGTTGTGGACTGTTGTGGACTGTTGTGGACTGTTGTGGACTGTTGTTGGACTGTTGTTGGACTGTTGTGGACTGTTGTGGACTGTTGTTGGACCATTGTTGGACTGTTGTGGACTTTTGTGGACTGTTGTGGGCTGTTGTGTGGACTGTTGTTGGACTGTTTTGTACTATTTAGGACTGTTGTTGGACTGTTCTTGGACTGTTGTTGGACTGTTTTGTACTATTTAGGACTGTTGTTGGACTGTTGTTGGACTGTTTTGTACTATTTAGGACTGTTGTTGGATTGTTCTTGGACTGTTCTTGGACTGTTTTGTACTGTTGTGGACTGTTTTGTATTATTTAGGACTGTTCTTGGACTGTTGTTGGACTGTTGTGAGCTGTTGTGGACTCTTGTGGACTGTTTGTGGACTGTTCTTGGACTGTTCTTGGACTGTTTTGTACTGTTCTTGGACTGTTCTTGGACTGTTGTTGGACTGTTTTGTTACTGTTCTGGGCTGTTGTTGGACTGTTCTGGGCTGTTGTTGGACTCTTGTGGGCTGTTGTTGGACTGTTTGAGGACTGTTTTGGACTGTTGTGGACTCTTGTGGGCTATTGTGGGTCAATAGCAGCAGGTCTGTAAAAGTCAGACTTTGCCTCAGAGCCAAGGACCTCTTATCTGGATCAGACTCGACACACACGGGGGCAGAAGGTTCAAAACAGGCACTTCCTTATTACCCACACGAGCAACATCTTCCTCCTGAGATATTCTCTTTGAAACAATCTCCAAACTCTATAATCGAGGTTAACAAACTTTATTCTTTGATTTTTTTTATATATAAATAAGTATATTTATTTGATTTTTTAAATATAGAGATTGTAGAACAGCTGAATATATAGTTTATTTTGGACACATTTATGTTTTTCTTATTTCATGTTGCATGTTGCAAAACTGCTCTAAGGTTCATATTTGTAGCCTGAATTTATTTTTAATTTGAAAGTTTTGTGTAAAATATAATTTTTTTTTTTTTTGAGAGAGAGAAAAATGCTGAAAGTGGATGTACGTGATTTGTGACTAAATCAGGACAAAACCAGGACTGAACCAGGATTGAACCAGGTCTAAACCAGGTCTAAACCAAGTCTAAACCAGCTCTAAATCAGGACTAAACCAGGTCTGAACCAGGACTTAACCAAGAACGAACAAGGGCTGAACCAGGACTGAACCAGGTCTAAACCAGGTCTAAGCCAAGTCTAAACCAGGACTAAATCAGGACTAAACCAGGATTAAACCAGGTCTACACCAGGTCTAAATCAGGACTAAACCAGGTCTAAACCAGGCCTAAATCAAGACTAATCATGACTTGAGAGAGAGAACCCTGAGCCCGTGGAGCAGGGTGTCCACAAAGCGCAATCGGGCGACTACTGCACCAGGAATAAATTAATTTGGCTTTAAAATCAGAATAAACCACCCACTTACTTCAGAATTAAACTTAATCCCGAATAATCATTTTCATTAGGAGTTTAAGTGTTTACATGGTGTTTTTAAAGTGGAATTACTTTTTATTTGGAATAAAAAGGCTCTCATGTAAACGTGGCACCTGTGGGACATCTCCATAAACTTGGATAAAAGTTCAAAAAGTCAGTTCAGAATAATAGCGGATTTTGAAAACGTGACAAAATGTTGATCCTCAGATATTCCGTTTTACCCCGTGACCCTTGACCCCTCCGTGACCTTTCACCCCGTTTAGCCTTAATCACCGCGAGAGTAACGCTGCCGTAGTTTGGCCTTTGTCTGACTCACCTGCGCTCGACTCTGCAAAAACAAACGTCTAACTCGGGTTTACGTAACTTCAACTCAACTTCAACAATATTAGTTTAGATTTAAAGGGCCCAGGTTACGCAATTTTCTAATAATCTATGAGATAATGTAGTTTTCTCGTCAAAAACAGACCAGGAGTTGTGTTTTTTGTGTTTTGAATTCTTCTCTCAAACGGAAAACACTCTGTTCCACCTTGTGACATCATGTGGTGATACTTGAAAAGCTCCACTGTGTTTTTAAACTCCACACACCTGCACTAGAATCATCTGGATTATTTACAGTCTTGGAATTCACAAATTCAACTGAACTAAGCCACGATTATGGAAAAATTATCAAGATTATTTTGGCCAATATTGAAATCTTGACTATTGAAATGATTATTTTTTAGTCCCCGTCCACACTAGTTCGTATTCGAGTCGTTTTCATTGTGGATGCAGTGTTCGTTCACATTAATCCGATGGAAAACGGCTCCAGAGGCAGAACGATCTGGTGCCTCCAGCTCCCACGAATTCATGTTCGTACAGATCTGATTCGGCACCGTGTGGACGCCTGAAAACACTGATACTCTGATGTAGATCTGTGCACCCCGAAGTAATTCACCGCCAAAACACTAAGAGGCTAGAATATCTGTCCATTTATATAAACGTGTGTCTGTGTGGACGACCTGCAGACGTATAATCTCTGAAAAGTTTCACATGAACCATCTCCAACGTGACAGAAACACAGAACAGACTCACCATCAGCAGAACACCCCTCTGTCACAGAAAGAACACTCATATTCCACTGAGTCGTGTCCTTTAGTCCGACAGAAGCTGAACCACATCAGCGCACAAGGAAAGAGCTGTTTTTTTGAGGCTCAGTTTATACAAATGAGTCATGTCGTTTTATGTTTTGTTTCTGTAAAACATAAACAAATGTGCTCAAAGCTGTGTGGATAAGGAAGACTTATGGATACAGAAACGACGAGTGTGGACGCAGATCGTTTCTGATACGGTGATTCGTTTCCGTGTAAACGTAACCTAAGTTACATGACGCAATTCTCTCTCAAAAAACACTTCGTAATTGATGATTTATGCAAAACGTTCAGATTGAAAATAAATTCAGGCTACAAACCTGAACCTTAGAGCAGTTTTGCGATATATAAAACATAAAATGAATAAAATAAACTTTGAACACGAAATAAGACAGAAAAACATAAATGTATCCAAAATAAACTATATATCCAACTGTTCTACAATCTCTGTATTTAAATAAAATATACTTATTTATATAATAATAATTGACACACAAATCAAAATCGCGATCAAAACGTGCTTACATAACATAGTCGGGTATGTTGAGAAACGAATATTTCCCTCTGCTGTCAGTGCATTTAAATTGTCATCTTTTAAACAAAAGGCGCAGACGTTCAGAAACAATCAGAACAGTGTCATGAGAACTTAACAGAACACTGGAGTTGCTTGAAAGAGATACTAAAATTCCATGACTTTGGTAGTGAACTTACAAATTTCCATGACTTTTCCAGGATTTCCATGACCGTGGGAAACCTACGGAAGCGGAGAGGGGCCACAACAAACGCAATCGCCGCAAGGAATACAAATGCAACAACACAACAAAAAGCCACAACAAACCAAAAAAAGCCACAACTTTTTAATGTGTTGTGGCTTTTTAATGTGTTGTGGCATTTGCGTTTGTGTTGTGGCGTTTGTATTTGTTGCGGCGTTTGCCTTAAAATAGATTCCCGCGGTCACTTCCGTTGTGGCTTTTTTTGGTGTGTTGTGGCTTTTGGTTGTGTTGTCGCGTTTGTATTTGTCGCGACATTTGCGTTTGTTGTGACCCCTCTCGGCTTCCGTAGAACCTGATTATTAGTCTGTCTGCATCTCCAAAGCTCAAAATGCTCCGTTCCATCTTGTGATGTCATGAAGTGGTCATTTTTTCACGCTTAATTTAACCAGCTCCTTTTCCAGATGATTTTAGTGAAGTTGTGTCGAGTTTAAAACCGCGGAGGAGCACTTCTTTATCCTTTTACCACGTGACATCACAAGTTGTCACTCACAGTTTTCTGTTTGAGAGAAAAACTCGGCATAAATCTACACGGTTTGTGCGTTAAACGTGTGTGAACGAGACAAAAAAACACATCTCCAGGTCTGTCAGAACACACATTGTACAGTGCATTCATAAAGATTCCTGCCGTTGACCTTTGCCCCAGTTCAGGTATTTTTTTACTACTTGAATACGACTTTTTTACTACTACTTTACCTTTACCGTGTCAATAAACCCCAACCATAACAGCTGATGTTTGACCACACCGTCTGGTTCGTAACTCGGTATAAAATATTAAATAAAACGTGTGTAAAAGTGGGACGTATCACGCATTCCATTTGAGTGAACTGCGAGAAGAAATAGTCCCTGTAAGACGCGGTGGCGGGGAACGGCGCTCGTACGGGGCTAATGTGTAACCAGCCGATTGTATCAGAGCACGGCCGGGTCACCACGGGAAAGTACACGCGAAGTACTGCTATCAGAAAGTACACGGCTCGAGAAGTACACGGGAAAAAACGGTACGGGAAAATTTGTAAAAACGGTTTGATTGCAGA